CCAGGAATCTGTTTCTAACGCTCTCTCAAGATGATGTTAATGAGGAACTCTTGTGCATATACAACACAACAGAAGAACCAAAAAGCTGTTTTTAAAAGCATAACCAATTCACTTATAAAACATCACTGTTTTATGCTTGATGTCAATGTCTGTGGTTCTCAAGGTCTGTTACTTTTTCTTCTCTCCACCAGCCCCCTTCCCTACCTTCCTTTCATGCTCTCTCTCACAACCTGTTAGGCAATAGATAAGTATTCTGAAATAGTATAATTTCTTATTTAAGATGCAGTAGTTTTATATGGTAGCTATGAGTCTGAATCAACTTGATGGCAATGGGTTTGGTTTGGTTTGGAATCCTTTATTGGAACAATAGTGACATCTAGTGACCAAGAAATCTAAGAAGCACATATTATCAGCCCAAAGGGGTGACAGTGGGAGATCTATGGTCTAGGCTATTGATCTATGTGTCTTTGAACAATGGAGAAAACTGGGTACTAGAAGTAAAGAAAGTCTAATCCTGATCACCTTTCTGATACTAACTTGTTCTTATGGGCATCAGTTACTGTAAATGTTTGTAGTATGCAATGGGAATTATGTATAATGTTCATTACTATTCTGAGGTTCATCAATTTAATGTTTTTAAAGTCACCATGGAAATAAATGTTAATACTAAATGTTCATTTTTACTGAATCAACTGAAACAGACTTTGGCTTACTAGTAGAGAGCACTAAGAAATTAGCATGCTGTGATTTTATCTGCAAGTCCATCATTAAGGGACAGAAACTCTCAAAGAAATCTCTCCATATTGAATATTGAAAAACAAAACAAAAGTGGAAACAGATACATTAAAAACAAAAGCACACAAGTATAGTCATGCATGGCATAATGCCCGTTTGGGCAACATCCAACCACATACATATATATGCTGGTGGCCCCATAAGTTTTGTTTTTTTCTTTTTTTTAAAAAAGGGAAAGTAGCTCTCCTTTTGTTTATTATTTCCCTCTAATGGTTTTAAAGGCCCCAAGTGCAGACTCATGCAGCACTGGACCATGGGTGGGATACAGGCAGGTGAGGCAGAGGACATGGCTCTGGGCAAGAGTTCTTGGGCTTTGTC